AAAAGACCTTCAAAATGCAGAACAGATAGATGCCTATACCTGCCTACATACAATATTAGAGACCGTTCTAATGTGTTGCTATGAAACTACAATACAGGTGTAAACAAGCAGCGGTGTTTGCTGCCTTGACAATGCAATAAGAGCAGAAAAAAGGAGAAAAAGTGGAAAATATTTTTAATTTACTTGCAATATTTGACTGTCATGGACTTGCGACTTGTCCAGGGTGCACCCTGCCTCTCACACAGTGACTGCTGGATATGGGCGCCAGTGACCCCTGCGGCCTGAAAAGGAAGAAGCGGATGAAGATAATGGATGGATGGATGGATGGATGGATACAATATTGAACAATTTTTCATTTCAGCTGACAAGGAGCTACAAGAAGGTGGTGCTTGTAAAAACATTCACGTTAGTTCCTGTACAAACATGAGTTTTCATCAACAGCATTTGGCATTTTATGTTGCATTAATTAGCTCATATCATATGATTGAAAATCTTCAACAGCTTATCATTTGCAACAAAACAAAAGAATTGGTATTTTCTGGAAAATCACTGTGTGGATAATGAGTGCTGAATGACAGCTGAAATTTGCTGAAGAAGCCAAGTGTGTTGTTAAACCTCAGACAAGTAAAACTTTAGCTAAAAAACATCCATCCATCCATCCATCCATCCATCCATCCATCCATCCATCCATCCACCCATCCATCATCTTTACCTGCTTTTTTCTTTTTGGGTCGCAGGGGTCACTGGTGCCCATGTCCAGCTGTCACTATGAGAGAGGCGGGGGACACCTGGACAGGACTCAGTCCATCACAGGGACACATAGAGACAAATGAGACAAACATTCACTCTCTCACTCAAACCTAGAGACAATTTAGAGTTACCTATCAGTCTAACATGCATGTTTTTGGTCTGTGGGAGGAAACTGGAGTACCCGGAGAAAACCCATGCATGCATGGAGTGAACATGCAAATTCCACCCAGAAAGGTCTCGGTCCAGGATTTGAACCGGGGCAACCTGCTCGCTGAGAGGCAGCACCTCTACCAACTGAGCCACCATGCTGCCCAGCTAAAAGCTAAAAGGAGCAAAATGAAAACCCAAAAGAAACAAAACACTAAAATTTGCTATATGTTAGCTAAAGTAGCAAAGCACTTAAAAATAGCTAAAAAAAACTAGCTAAAAGCTAAATATAGCAAAAATAATTGCTAATAGCTAAAAGTAGTAAAAGCTAGCTAAAAGCTAAAAATAATTAAAGGCTAGCTTCAAGGAGCAGAAAAATATATTTATTTAAACCTTTATTTTACCAGGAAATAAATCCATTCAGATGATTAATTTCTTACAAGGAAATCCTGGGCAAATGGCAAATATCAAAATGTTGCTCCTCCTGTTCAGAGATGTTAATAGTCCAGAGAATGTTCTTGTTAAGGTGTTAGATGGATGGTTTTTCTTTTAGGCATTGGTGCAGGAGCAGGCTCGTCCATCTTTGGTTTCCTAACAAGGAGCACTCTGCCAGAGGAGCGGGCTGGTATCTTCGCAGCTGTCATGGCCTGTCGACAAGCTGGACTTCTTGTCGGTCAGTTTCTGCCTTTGCTCTCACCACAAAGTAAGAGGTGTCACTCTCACCTCTCTGCACCCCACATCTGTCTTCTGTAAAACATCAGGCTGTGAGAAGGGTTTCTGAGCTGTTTTCTTTGATGTGCCGTTTGATGTGTGAGGAGCAGAAGACATTCAATAAAATCACTAAGGTGTGAGGCTACTGTCTTCGCACATCCTCCATTTATCTCATCTTTAAAGTTCTTCTTCCTGTCTCTCCAGGGCCGGCGTTCAACTTGTTCCTGCGGCTGTGTGATTTCAAACTGGGGCCCTTTGTTGTGAACAAGTATACGTCTCCTGGGGTAACTGCATCCACACAATCAGTAATCTGAGGCTCTCTGAAAGGCGCATGAATACAAAAATCGTTGCTCTGTATTCTGAACTCTCATGCATTTTTTCCTCTTTTTTGTTCTCATCTTAACAAGAATAAAAAAAATCTGCAGCAATAAGGCCTGTAATAACCTGTATCTGTCTGTTTCTATCCCATGATGCCTTAATGAAACACCTGTAGCAGCGATGCAGCTTAGATGAAATACAGCAATCCTCCTCCACATCGGCGTCTATTTCTCATATAATTTGACACTGAGCGTCTCTCTTGATTATTCTTACCTGAAACACAAACACCTTTCTGTTCTAAGGCTGATGTAAGCACATTTAGATTTTAAAATGTTGAACGGTATCTTTATTTTTCCTTCTTGCCCTCAGATGTTCATGTGCCTGTTGTGGGTCCTGCTTCAGTTTGTTGTCCTGGCGACATTTTGGGATGTGCTGCCCCTCGACTCCGAAGACGGAGCCATCATGATGGAGATGAAACGAGAGGATGGTGATGAAGAAGAGGCGCCACTCATGGGGTCTGACGAGGAGCTGGTGCACACCTACAGAGCTGTCGACTCCAACCAACCGGAAATTTCTACCTCGACTGACAATGAGCCTGTCCGTGGAACCCAGAACCCTTTTAAGAACTTCAGCGCCAGCAGAGGTGAGTGTGCAGGTCCGACTGGAGGCCCCGAGTGCCGAGTGTCAGCTTTTCTCCAGGCAGTTCATGAGACTCGTGTAGGAAGAGGTGTCACAGTCAATACACGTGTTTGTATCTGGGCTATTGATTTTCTGGCATTTACACACACACACACAAGCACGCACACTTTCTCTTCTTGTCTCTCAGAGGAACTTTGTGCATGCCAAATCAGATTCCTTGAGTATTGATCGGAATTTTGTGTGTGGGTATGGTTTGTATATGTGTGTGTGTGTGTGTGTGTGTGTGTGTGTGCGTGTGTGTGCAGCTGTGCAATATATCTGATGTCAGATGTCCGACTGGATTAGCATCATAGTAAGTTTAAATATAATACAAGCGGTGATTGCATGCCAACATTAATTATCTTTGTCTGCACTTCTCCAGGCTCTCTGTGTGTGTATATATTAGTTTTTGTTATTTATTTAGACTGTTTCTGGTATATTCACCTACGATGACGAGACTGGTAGTTCTTATATCTATCAATGTCCTGTCCAAATACAATGGAAAGTCATTTTCAGAGCAAAAAGTTAGTGGCCAGGTGTGAATTTAAAATTGGCTGGAGTTTTGGTTTGGCTAAACAACTGAATGGGAGTCAAAATATGTTTTAGTAAGGTCAAAAATATGTATCTATGTGTGTGTGTTCTTGTACAACAACATTCATGAGGACCATTTTGCATATGACACCAATGAAGTGAGGACAGTTTAATTTTTCTCACAGCAATTCAATTCAGTTAATTTATATAGCACCAAGTTACAATTGAAGCCAGGCCACTGCATTATAAAAGCCAATTAGTAAAGTTCTGTATCTAAGGAAGTCAGCAGATTGTGTTGAATCTTCACTTCTGTCGCAGTCTCCCATCCTGAACAAGCACAAAGGAGACAGTGGAAAGGAAAAACTCCCTTTTAACAGGAAGAAACCTCCAGCAGAACCAGGCTCAGGACAAGCGGCCATCTGCTTCAACCGGCTGGGTTTGAGAGGAACAGACAGGAAAAACAAACATAGAATGACAGGTCCGGGTGGACTTTCTATTGGGAAAAAACAAAACACATGTCAAGGATATAAATAATTACAAATACAAACATTCATTCAACCTTTATTTATACAGTTTCGTTCCCATTGAGCCTCGAGGATTCATTTACAAGAGAGACCTGTTACAGGTAGAGTAGAGCAAGTAAAGACAGCAGCAGGGTTATGAAATGTGGTCAATTTGTCCTCCAGCAGTCTAAACCTATAGCAGCATAACTAAGGGATAGCTCAGGAAACCCAAGTGAACCCTAACTATAGGATTTATCAAAAAGGAAAACCTTAAGCCCAGTCTTAAAACTGGACAAGGTGTCAGCCTCATGGAAGTTGGTTCCACAAGAGAGGAGCCTGATAACTGAAAGATCTTCCTCCCGTTCTGCTTTTGGAAACTCTAGGAACCTCAAGTAAACCTGCATTCTGAGAACAGTTCTCTGTTTGGGAAATATGGAAGAGCTCTAATATAAGATGGAGCTAGGTTGTTGAGAGCTTTGAAGGTTAGAAGTCAGATTTTGAAAACTATTCTGGATTTGACAGTGGAGAGAAACTAAAACTAGAGAGATATGATCTCTCCCACTAACTCCAGATAAGACACTGGCAGCAGCATTTTGGATCAACTGAAGACTTTTTGAAGAAGTTTTTGGACACCCAGGTAAACCATTGCAATAGTTCAGTCCACATGTGATAAATGCATGGACTGGCTTTTCTGCATCATTTTTGGACAAGTTGTTTCTAATTTTAGTGATATTTAGTGAATATAGTAGTGACTTAGTGACATTTTTAATGTAGATATTTAAAGACATACAGTATGCTGATCAAAAATAATCCCAAGGTTTTTAGTTTTTCTTTTGCATTAAAACTGGAAGCCAAATTAATGCTTTAAATCCATCTTTTAAAAACGTATACATAGATTAAAACTTCTTTTGGTGTAGATTAGATGAGAACACAGTAAGGATTGGGACAAGAGTCAATGATATTACATCACTTCCCTCGTTATTTTCATCATGTGCATACTTTAACCTGTTGGCCAAAAACAGTGCAACTTCTATTCTGAAATTATCTGATTAGTGAGTTTTGTGTTCACCGAACCTCTTCCTGAATGCACATATTAAACCTTGAACTTCTTCCCCTTTAAGTTAGTCTGATTTAAAAGTAACAATAATCTGTGCAAAATAACTAATATCAATAAAAAAGTTTTTTTTTTTTCCTTTTGGCTGCTGCATTTCTCATGGGTCACCACAGCAAGCAAATTTACATGTTTTCATGTCGGATGCCCTTCCTGATGCAGCCACTGACCACCAAGCTACCACAGCCCTCTGTGTGGAGCAGGGGGCTGCCATCCTCTGGGAGCAGATGGGCGGGTCAAAGGCTCACAGTGGGGAGGGTGGAGGCAGATGTGGGTGCTTGGTGTTTCCCACTCAAACTTTACTGGAACAATCAGGGGATTCGAACCAGTGACCTCTCGATCATGGACTCACCCTCTCTCAATGATATAGTTTTATGTAATTCTAGTTGTATATAGTTTTTGCCCTGGTTTGTGCATGCTGTTTTTCTGTAAGCAAAATTTCTAATTGAATAGATTTTTATAAAACTCTTGGAATGTAATTATTGAAAATGCATGTACTACTGAGTGTTTTACTGTCCTCTTGATCCAAAATGACCTCCACAGCTAATCAGCCTTAGCCGACGCAACATTAGCTATAATCTCAGTCAGTATTACAGATGTTAAACTAAAATGCAGTGTTGTAAATACTTAGTTGATACCAAAACATGCACTACCTAAATGTATAGGATTGTTGTTTAAAACTTTGCCAATACTCCTGTTTGCCTGTCAGAAAAATATTACATGAACCATTAGACAAGTTGCATTTAAACAATATGAATTTAAACCTTGGTGGATGCATTTTAAAGGCTATGTGAGGCAGGAACAGAGATCACATAAGTTAGCGTATGTTTTCCTTACTTGTAATAGCATTTGCATAAATTTGTTCTTTACCACCAAGTATCTAAATCCATGTATTGAAATGAACTGGTCAGCTGTCAACCAGTTCATTTCTGACAAACAACAACAACAAAAAACTAACTGATTGTTTCTGACACGGGAAATCTGGAATCAGTAATGAATTTCTAAAAATTCACATTTGCAAAATAGAAACGTCAGGGTTAGTGTTGGTGCATGAATCCATCTTGTTGTATTGTTTTGGATTTTAATCTGCATCCTCTGTCCTCACTCCAACTACCTCCATGTCCTCTCTAACTGCATCCACACATCTGCTCTTTGTCTTTTTCCTGGCAGCTGCATTTCTAACATCCTTCTACCAATATACTCATGGTCCTTCCTCTGGCCATGTCCAACCAGTTGTTCAACCTGTGCTGTACCTCTGATGATCTCATTCCTAATCTTATCCATCCTTGTCACTCCTAAGGAGAACCTCAACATCTTCATTTCTGCCACTTCCAGTTCTTTCTCCTGTCTTTTGTCCATGTCTCTGTCTCCAGACCATACAACATAGAGCTGGTCTCACCACTGTCTTGTAAACTTTTCCTTTGACCTTTGCTGACACCTTTTTGTCACAAATCACTCCTTCTTGCCTGGACTCCTCACTTTAACTAACAGTTAACTGTAAGTCCTTGAAGTCCTGCACCTTTGTGACCTCTGCTCCTCACTGTTCCACCAGCCTCCCTCTCATTCACACACGTACTCTGTTTTACTGCAGACTTTCATTCCTCTCTTTGAAGATCAGCAGATGCTAACAACAACAAAACATCAACAAAAAAGTGTCACACACTTCCTATAAGATCACTATTTATTTTGATCCAAAGAAAGCAATTAGTTTGCATAAAATAAACGAATGATTTTGATAAGCCAAGAAGATTTATAACATCAACAAATGTTCTTGAAAACAGCAATGAAAAGTTTTTTTTTTCATGTGAACTGAGAGGAAGTGAAGGTTAAGTTAGGGCCTTGGTTCAGGTTGTCCTGCACCAGTGGAAGTTGTTGCAGTGTCCCAGTCAGGATAGCTGTGTTTGATTGTTTCTCTCTGTGTGTACTGTACGTGTCAAACCCTCACATTGATTCTTTCACTCTTTAAAGATGAGGCAAAGGGATGGCTTGCAGACCTCCTTGTTTATTGACTGGCTTGCTGTGGTTGACTTGAGGATGAAATGGAGGCAGGACGGGTAATGTGGCCCGAGTTCTTCCTATCGATTCCTTTTTTTGTTCTGAGGAGAAGCTGCCAAACTAAACTCCCTCTGTTAGCTGTTAGAGTCGACCTGTATTCGCGCTCTTGAATTATTGATTTACCAGGACTTTTGTGAAGAATAGTTGAAAATCTGGCAAAATGTGCTCTTTTTTTACTTGACCTTGTCTCTGGCAGGGGTCAAGGTGAAAAGATCAAAAACCAAAGAAACAAACAAGTACAATTTGTTATTTTTACTTTCATAATTCTGATGTTTTTTCATAGCTTATTCATATAAAAACATTTGTTTGGAATTTTATCATCACTTCTACCCTTAGAAAGATAACATCTGTATTTAAAAACACAATATTATTTATTATATTTACAAATATTACATACTGTATCTGTCTTTGCATGACCTTAGAGTAATATGATGACTAACTTTTAGAAGTTGAAATAACATATGCTGCCACTGCTGGGCAGTGAGGATACATTTATGTCTAGACAATAGTTGTGACGCTCCTTCACATACTAAATGTAATGCCATCAAGGAGAATGCAACAAGTGACCATTTACAAAAACAAACAAACAAACAAAAAAACATAAAGCTCTTTATATAAATATTTAAATAAATAAACAGGAGATTTAGTTAGAATTTTGGGATAATCTGAATTTGTGGGTATTATAAAATTATAATTTGGGCTATGAGCAAACAATAAAATAATAAATGAAACTAGCATTAAACACATACATGTGGTTTCTGCCTT